ACATCTGGACGCAACGTGCAGAAGTGTAGTATGAGTACAACCGACCTGATGTACTCAATAAAACAAACCTAACCTTAGGTTGAATGTAGTGACGAGCTGGGACAAGGGTCAGAATCCAACTCCATTAACCAGTCACGGTTCATAACAATATAATAAAATTAGTAGAAGAAGATAACTGAGAGGTACGATGCTCATCTCGTTCATAGTTACGGTAGATAGGCATGCTTTCAAGTATAACAGTAATTCCCAAATCTTTCACCGAAAACACCAAAAACATATGAGTAAGTTTGAAAATTATGTTTTTCCCAAAAACTTTTCAACAATAAATAAGATATTTTATTTTCAGATAGCATGAGGAAAGTGCATCTCTATGCCTACATGTCGATATTCAGGTGAAATCATGAATAACACCAAAACTGGGTAGCGTGAGAAAATGCGTCTTGATGCCTATATCTCAAGTACGCATGACAAACGCAATGCATCTCAGTGATGAACTCATGTACTCACACCCTTAGAGTACTCATCTCACTGTCTCGTATTTTTACTCACCATGCTCAATACTTAGCACACTTAGTCACTCAATATTGTACAGGCCCGATCCAGCGGAAATATAAATAAATCCAGGACATATGCAGCCAAATCATAAATGAATCCAGGGAAAATCAGGCCCAATGCAAATGAATCCAGGGCAGATCAGCCCAAAATTCCATTGCAACTGTGCCCATAATGGTTGTGCAGACTCCGGAGGGGCCGATCCAACCCAAGCGCTATAATAAGCCAAATCCTGGCATGAATCAATAAAGCTTGCTGCGGCGTGCATCCCGATCCCATCAATATCTCTCACAACAGGCCCTCGGCCTCACTCGGTCATCAATCTCTCTAGTCTTTCAAGCTCACAACACTCATGACAAGCAGCCTGATGAGTGATACAAGATGTGACAATACACGAAAGCAGAGAGTGAGATATGATACGTAAAGATGAATGTGACTGAGTACATAACTGCAATTAAGTAAATAACTCAACAATAAAGAATGACCACTATGGGTACCAGTAGTAGAAGCATATAGCCTAAACATGATTTCTAGCATAAATCACTACTCAAGTGCTCTAACACATAGAGTACAGTAAAAATGTTCACAAAAGATGGCTACACAGTTCCATGGAATCGACTAAATCATAATTACTACGGTGCATGCCCAAACGTCCGTCACCTAGCATGCACGTCACCTCAACATCAATCACATAGCACATATTTCGTGGTTCCATACCCTCAAAACAAAGTTTAGAAGTGTTATTTATCTCGAACAAGGTAAATCCAATACCGAGCAAGCCAAACGATGCTCTAAAAATGCCATCTTGCGCGTACCGACCTCCGAACAGTTCAAAACTAGGCAAAATCAACTGAAGAACATCAAATAAGGCCTAAGAAATCAATAGCAAATGATAAAGGTCGAATGTTCAATGCAATGCCCAAAATCAATCAAAAAGTCAAACACGGGCCCATGTCTCGGAACCCGACGAAACATATAAAATCACGACAACCCATTCAATTACGACTCTAACCATACTAGTTTCATTCAAATTTGACTCCGAATCAACGTTCATAACTCGAAAATTCACTCTATTAAACTTTAGACAAAAGCTCCCAGTTTCTCTCTTCAAACCATCGATCAAATGCCAAAAATGATGATAGATTCATGATATAAAATAAAAAATGAGTAGAGAAAACTTACCCCAATCCACATGCTGAAAATAGCTTTGCGAATCGTCTCAATCCCAGCTCCATATCTCCGAATTCGTAAAAATGGCCGAAACCCCCGAAATAGAGTATTTTATAATTACTAGGCTAATAAATGAATCGTGATCGCAGATATACCCTCGCAATCGCGAAGAAGAAAATGCACTGCCCTTGAATTACTCTATGCGATCGCACCAATAGCCTCGCGAACGCGATACACAAAGCTCACAAAACTACGCGATCGTGGGAACAACATCGCGAACGCGAAGAGGAAACTTACCATATGACCAGCTCAGCCCATAACACTATGCAAACGTGTAGAATTAGTTGCGAACACGATGAAGACCAGCCCCCTCCCTATGCGAACACATTCATACTTGCGCAAATTCGGAGAGCAAATTTCACAGCAGACCGAAAAACCTTTCGCGATCCCGGCCAAACCTTTGCGATCGCGAAGAATGCCAGAAGTAACAGGTAACATCAGAAAACCAGCAATGCAAAAACCATTTGAAATGATCCGAACTACGTCCAAAACTCACCTGTGCCACCCGGGACCCCATTTGAATATGCCAACAAGTCCCAAAACATAATACGTACCAACTCGAGGACTGAAATCACACATAACAACATCGAAACATCGAATATCACCTCAATTCAAACTTAAACGAGCTTTGAACTTTCAATTTCCAAAACTCGTGCCGAAACATATAAATCAAACCGGAATGATCCCAAATTTTGCACACAAGTCCAAATGACATAACGATGCTTTTCCAATTCCTAAAACCACAATCTGAATCCGATATCCTCAAAGTCAACTCTCTGTCAAACTTACGAACTTTTCCAGCCCTTCAAATTTCAGTTTTCCCAATTTGTGTGGAAACCTTCTAGAAACAACCAAATGCAAATCAAGGCAAATACTAAAAAGTCAAACTTGGTCAACTCTTCCAACTTAAAGCTTAAATCATGGAATTTATTCTTCCAAATCGATTGTGAATAACCTGAAAACCAAAGTCGACGATTCACACAAGTCATAACACACCATACGGAGCTACTCATGCCTTCAAACTACCAAGCGAAGAGCAAAGGCTCCAAAATGACCTGTCGGGTCGTCACAAATAATGTAATTTTTTTCCTCTGGTGAAATAAGAATTTCCATTACAAAACATTGAATTTTGCAAAAGAAAATTATTAAAATTATAGACTTTAAGGATGAATATATTTTTTACTTCAACTTCCTGATATTATGAACTTTAGCGAATATATAAAGAGGGAAGAGTAAAAGAAGAATGAAAATGGAAAAAATTGAATGGATAAAAAAGAAAGAAAAAGTGGAATCTGATTTAGGCATGAAAAGACTGGTAAAAGGAAAATGTAATCAAAATGAGTAAACGCTTGATGAAGTCCATTGAGATTAATGGCTAAACGATTGATGAAGTCCGGCGAAATTTGCGAGTTTGACTTGTTTTCAGAAAATTGATTAATTTTTGTTGTCTATTGGATGAAAACTGTATATGTAGGTTAGGCGGGTGAAAAGTACTTCCTCTAACTGTATTTTCATGTAAATTGCCCAAAAAATAAATGGGTGCACAAGAGCAACTACTTTGGTGCAATATGTGTATGGGTCATTTTGCCACACTTTAAGCCATTGACAAATTTATATTTTTAGCCATTCCAAAAAATCACAGTCGATATATTTATAACATATTTTATAGACTTTTTGGTTATTGAATACAACTATTTTCGGCTGACTGACCAATTTATATTTTTCCCTAGGCCTTTATGTGTTAATATGATACCAGGTAGCCACTTATAGGGCTGCTAACTAATTGGAATTGCCAACATTTGTACAGTATATGAACGATAGTTACAACTTAAAAATATGGCAAGTGAAACTCCAAAACAATGTCATTGAGTTCAAAACATTACAAGTGAAACCCAACGACATTATCCTGAAGTTCGAAACATATACAAGATAAATTGCTGCAAGTGAAATTCCAAGACACTGTCCTAAAAGTTTGAAACATATACAAGATAAACTGCTGCAAGTGAAATTCCAAGACAATTTCCTGAAGTTCGAAACTTAAACAAGTGTTCCTATGTTGGTTTCTTCATCGTACTCCACGGAGTACATATCTTTTCTGCTTGCAAATGCTAGCCATGTTTGGTATTACGTGACACTGCAATATTTGTAGTTCACATGTTTAGTTCTCTAATGAGTTACTGTTTCATTTCTGGAGAATAAAATATTTTTATGAAGACAGTTAAGTTAAAATATTATATATTTCTGGAGAATAAAATATCCTTAACGTTAAAGCCTACGTTCCAAGAACGGAACAAGATCATGAGGGTTCTTGACAAGTAAAGGGCGATTTTGTTTTGAAAAAGGATAGCGATATCAGTTTACCAGAGCAAACAAAAGTGCTTACTTGATTAATTTGTCTAAATGTATGTTACGTTAAAGGATTGTATGATCATTTGCCAAATCACTAGTTGGTTGTTATGTTTTGTGATTATTAAGAGTTAAATAATTGGCATTGACTTACTTTTTCTATTTTACAATTTTATTTTCTGGTCTCTAGTTATTATATCTAACGCAATTTTTGAGCATAACAAAAATATACATAATTAGGAAAATATTATAAATGTAAGACGGTGAAACGTTATAAGTATTGTGTGGTGTCATTATGTGATTGATCTAATTAGAAAGTATAGACTCAGCTGATTTGTGCATATCATGATTAATTAATATAATTAATAGTAGTAAGAAGTAAGATACAGAGAAATTGAATCCCAATTTTGTTATCATTTAACTTTTTTTTCATAGTTGTACGATGAAGATTTACTCATGAGAGTATATCCAGATGAACCGTCGGGCTATTTGCGGCTTGGGTCTCAGACTCTCAGACTCACGACACTTTCTCAATCAAGTTACATATTTGTTAATCATCAAAACTCAATTTCGAACAATTATTTATTTGGTGTTCATTCTAGCACCATAACCATGAAAATTTAATATAAGTATACATAGAGTAATAAATAGCAGTGATAATATTAATGGGTGTTTCTACAGTGTGAAAATGAAATTAGAAAACATGAGCGATGATAATGATGATTGTCATTCTATATTATCGTCATCATCTTTATCGTTGTCGTCGTCAGCATCTGGTCATCGTTATATTTATCACGTGTAGAAGCACCAAGACAGTTGTATGACAATAGAACAACAATTATATTCTCAAACATTAATGTTCCAATAGTCTATTCCTGTAATAATCTCAAACATTAACCTTCCAACATTGATTTTCAAAAGAAATAAGTGCATGCAATAGCATTGTACATTAATGCTATATTAACTGTAATAAAAACTTAATCCAGATCCTAGGAACTTTTGTTCAATGATGTTATCCAGTTTCTCCATCATCTCAGTTGTAAAGTAATTCTTCCAATCTCCAACTTCGCCTCGACGAAAGAACAATTTATGATCCTCTCCAGTTGGCCATTTCTCATTCTTGTTCACCTCCAAGTTGCTCAAATTTTCAAAGCTACACAATTTCAAGATTTCATTCACCACTCCTGATGTTTCTTCCTCTTCAGAAAATGGATATTCCAAGAATTCAGCTAAGCATTTCAGTTGAATCTCGGGTTTCTCTTTAATTTCTTCATACATCAAGAAAAGTACTCTAGTAGGTTTTTCTAAACTTTTTTTCCAGTAATCTAACACGTGATCCCAAAAAGGACCAAAAAGGCTCACCCCCTTACAGAAAAGATCAAACATTTCTTCAATTGAATTGGTATCTTTGTAATGAGATCTTAAATTGTTTGTGAAATGCCACATTGAAATAAAAGTGTCCCTCGGATTCCTACACAGGTAAATGAGCTTGCTTTCCGAATTTTGGACAGATTTTGGCAATGAAGCATATGGCAAATGTGTTGCCAACAACCTAGGAGTGGTGAAGGACAAGAAATCAGGAACTTGGCCATCAACATAAAGCTTAAGTTCCAAGAAAGGAACAAGAGCATGAGGGTTCTTGACTAGCAAAGGATGATTTTGTCCTGAAAGAGGAAAGCGAATTCGGTTCACTAGAGCGAACACGAGTGCTTTTAACCAGGTAGTACCTGATTTAGGAGTGGTAACAAGGATGATATCACTATCTTGAGCTTGAAATTGTTTTTGGCATGCAATCACACCTTGTATTATTCTTGGTGATACCCAAAAACCTTGGTAGTTGTAACTATGTGATCCAACCAATCCTTTTTCTTTGGGTAGGATTGAGAGCAATTTCTTACACTCTTCACTTAAGCCATCATCTTGTAAATATTTGGGAGGAAGTGGTTGAGAATGGGATGTTGTCATTGATTTTGAGAATTGTGTGTTTTCTTTTAATAGCTTGTATGATGAAGATTTAGTCATGAATAGTATATATAAGGAGATTACTCACCAGCTCTTCTTAATGACAAATGGTGTAATCAGATTCTCTTATATTTTTATTTAGTTAGTTAATGATTCTTTTTTTTTTTTGACATTTATCTTTGGAAAAGAACAAAAGAATTGAAAAATATAGACACATACCAAATGTTGTCATTTGGCAATGTTCGTCCTTATCCTTTCCCTAACTAATTACACATAAAACACATGCTAACACCTCACCATCCATACAAGGGCTCACGTTTTTTACATCCACTCATAAAAATAAAGCGAAAAATGCCCATTCATGCCAGTGAATTATGGGAAATAGGATACATTTTGTCACGACCCGGATTTTTCACCCTCGAAAATTGTGATGGTGCCTACTCGTGAAAGCTAGGCAAGCCGATAGTTACGGTTTTATCACAATTATTATTAATCAACAGAAAACAGATAATGGCTAAAATGAAATAATTATAAATGCGGAAGTGATATAGCAATCCAACAATTCTAATACATAACTACCCCAATGATCTGGTGTAACAATTCACGAACGACTAAGATTTACTACAAATATTAGTCTGAAAGAAGTACGTATGTGCTCGAAATAGAAGAGACAGGAGAAACTAAAACGGGGAAAGGGGACTTCATGCTTTGCGAACACCAGTAGATCTACCTTGGTCTCCCTGGACTGAAGGAAGTGTATACGGTAAAACCGGAGGGTCCAATTTTTGGTCATTACGACGCCTCATAAGCACGTTTCCGAAGGTTCGAGGCTACGTTCGAGTTTTGCATCCGAGGAGTTATCGACATCCAACCTCAGGGCAGTGTCGACCGATGGTCATGGTAAAAAAGTGGGAAGTTCCCAAGGCATATGATCAAAGTTGACAAAGCCTGCAAGGGAAGCACTAGTCTGTACCAGACTAATGAGTAGCTGCTCCAGCTATGTTTCTTTGTAATAATTACTCATGTACTAGGATGGGATTTCCCTCCTTATATAAAGGGGGTCCTTGTCATTTTGTAGGACATCTCTAACACAACATATTAATTCAAGATAAAAATATTCCTTCTGCTCTCTAACTTAAATATACTCTCTGTTTGGCTCTACTACTTACATTTATTGCTTTATTTACATTTATTGTATCCCATTAATTTTTCAACATTTATTGCTCATTATTGATCATAGAGAGCCTCCATCGCAGCTCTCATAACTGTTAGTCCTTCATCGACTACCCTTTACCGGGTATCAAATTCGACCTCGAGGCCCTGTATATGCAAGCTCGAGGCCTCGATACCTGGCCATTTTGGTTCGTTTATTAAGCTATCTACAAGCCATCGTCTTAATTTCTAGTCCTTCACTTAACATCCATTGCCTAACAACTAGCATAAAATAGATCACATATATTTAGAACCACAAAACCAAATCTAATTGTTTACCATTTTCAAGTTAACAGTTTGGCGCCCACCGTGGGGCTAAAAATAATAGTGATTGTTTTCTTGCTGGTTTACTACATAACGCAAGTTATCTTTCACACTTTTCTTGTCCATGATCTTTGATTTCAGGTCAAAATGTCCAACTCAGTAAACACAGGTGAAAACAACAATCTCGAGGACCATGGAGAAAACTGTGTAGCTGTTCCAGGTGTTGGTGTACCAACACGAAACCCTGGGGATGCGCAAGAACCAATTACCGTGGAGGCGATCTCGCGAGACGCTCAACACGTCGAAATAAGCTCCCACACCAACAAGAGCATACACCAAGGAGATCAACGAGAAGCTTAGAAAACCCCAACTAGGGAAGAACAGGAAGTTATCCTTCACGTTATTTTTGAAATGTTACAGGCACAACAGTTGGCAATTGCTCAGCTGCAAAGTCACCAGAAAACTCACAGCACGGTAGCACCGGAAACGGCTCCTCAAGCCGAACAGGTACCAGAAAGATCAAGAAACAACGGGTCGGCAACCGACCCCGCCATCATAAAGATGCTCGAGGACCTCACAAAGAGGACCGAGTTAGGCGAGAAGAAGATAGAAGCCAACGACAAGAAGGTAGAGACCTACAACTCTAGGGTCGATCAAATTCCGGGGGCACCCCCTATCCTGAAAGGTGTCGATTCCAAGATGTTCGTGCAAGAGCCGTTCCCGCAGGAAGTGGCTCCAAAACCTATCCCAAAGAAGTTTAGAATTCCTGACCTTCAGAAGTACAATAGAACCTCAGACCCAAACGAGCACGTCACTGCTTACAAATATGCAGCGAAAGGCAACGACCTATGAGACGACGAGATGGAGTATGTCCTACTAAAGAAGTCTGGAGAGACAATTTCAAAAGGGGCAAGGATTTGGTATCACAACTTAGCCCCACACTCGATAGATTTGTTTGCCATGCTGGCAGATTCCTTGAGAAAGGCACATGCTGGTGCCATAAAGGTAGCTACAAGAAAATACGATGTTTTCATAATCAAGCAAAGGGAGAACGAGATGCTGCGAGATTTCGTATCCCGCTTTCAAATGGAACAAATGGAACTGCCGCCAGTCTCCGACGACTGGGCAGTGCACGCCTTCACTCAAGGTTTGAACGAGCGAAGCTCGATATCTTCGAAACAACTAAAGCAGAACTTAGTCGAATATCCTGTTTCTTATCATTTTTATCTAAGAAACGTGGGGACTATTTGTATACGATAAAATCAGAGGTTCCAATTTTCGGTCATTACGACGCCTCATAAGCACGTTTTCGAAGGTTCGAGGCTATGTTCAATATTTGCATCTGAGGAGTTATCGACGTCCAACCCCGGGGAAGTGCCGACCGATGGTCATGGTAAAAAAGTGGGAAGTTCTGAAGGCATATGATCAAAGCTGACAAAGCCTGCAAGGGAAACACTAGTCTGCACTAGACTAGTGAGTAGCTGCTCCAGCTATGTTTCTTTGTAATAATTACTCATGTACTAGGATGGGATTTCCCTCCTTATATAAAGGGGGTCCTTGTCATTTTGTAGGACATCTCTAACACAACATATTCATCCAAGACAAGAACATTCCTTCTGCTCTCTAAATTAAATATACTCTCTGTTTGGCTCTACTGCTTACATTTATTGCTTTATTTACATTTATTGTATCTCATTAATTGTTCATCATTTATTGCTCATTATTGATCATAGAGATCCGCCATCGCAGCTCTCATAACTATTAGCCCTTCATCGACTACGCTTAACCGAGTATCAAATTCGACCTCGAGGCCCCGTATATGCAAGCTCGAGGCCTCGATACCTAGCCATCTCGGTTCGTTTATTGCTATCTACAAGCCATCGTCTTAATTTCCAGTCTTTCACTTAGCATCCATTGCCTAAAAACTAATATAAAATAGATCACATATTTTTAGAACCACAAAAATCAAATCTAATTGTTATTACCATTTTCAAGGTAAACAGGTAGCAACCAGAAAGCTACTCACAAGGTCCGGCACCGAAATCTGCACAAAAAATGCAGAGTGTAGTATCAGTACAACCGACCCCATGTACCGGTAAGTATCGATCCTAACCTCGGCGAATTAGTGACGATGCTAGGACACGACAACCATATAAACCTGTGCAGTTAAATCATATAGAAGAAGAACAAGAATAACAGAAAAGTAACCGATAAAGATAGGAAAGGGAACATATTGCGGGGAATATCATGTTCGGACAATAATTCAATAGAGAAGCATAATAAACACTATATCTGTATCAACATGAGTAATCAAATAGTAACACGTGCATGGCATCACCCTTCGTTCTTTTACTCTCGTCCTCATAATAAGAAATAACAGAAATGGCACGGCATCACCCTTCGCGCATTAACTCTCATAATCATGGCACGACATCACCCTTCATGCATTACTCTCAAATCATGGCACAGCATCACCCTTCGTGCTTAAACACTCACAATATCGGCATAGTATCACCCTTCGTGCATTAGCACTCACTCACAATATCGTGCACGGCATGACCCTTCGTGTTTTACTCTCATCCTCACCCAAAAAGTAGAAATAATACATCCCTGCAAGGGAATCGACAATAACCAATTTCTACCTAATCCCCCAATTTATACCATAGAAATCTTAGATTTTTGGTTAGAAATTCATGACAAGTGAAAGAAAGTGGGTTAGGATCACTTACCAAAGTTTTGGGGAAGATTTGGTTTGGGAGAATCGCCTCTAGGGTTTTAGGACTTGAGAGATGTGATAAATGGGTGAAAATCCCGTCTAAGTCCCAACTTAACAGCTGCAAATGTCGCAATTGCGACTGGAGCTTCGCATTTGCGAAGCTCGCAATTGCGAGAAGGACATCGCAAATGTGAAACTTAGCAATTTCTGTTGCCTTCGCATTTGCGACCAATCCCCTCCCAGCTTTACTTCGCAAATGGGAAGGGTCTTCTCAATTCAGCTACTCTTCGCATTTGCGATGAGTGACTCGCAATTGCAACACTATCAGGCCTCGCAATTGCGAACTCTGGTCTCGCAATTGCGAGATCAGAGGCCAACACCAGAACTGTAGCACTTGCAATTTTTTTCCAAGTCCAAAACACTTCGTAGCCTATCCCAAATTCACCCGAGCCCTCGGGGCTCTAAACCAAACATGCACATAAGTCTTAAAATATCATATGAACTTGCTCGCGCGATTAAATTACCAAAATAACATCTAGAACTAGGAATTCAACACCAAAACTCATGAAATTTTCAAGATAGTTCAAAATTTCTATCTTTTCAACCAAAGGTGGTGATTTGATAGGTTTTGGCATCGGTTGTAGAAATTGAAGTTTCAAAGTTTATTGATTTTGACTTAAGGTGTGATTCGTCGTTACGAAGTTGTGATGTGTGATTTGAAGCTTTCAGTAGGTTTGTTTTGTCGTATATAACTTGTCTGTAAAATTTGGCACCATTCGGAGTTGATTTGATATGGTTCGCATGCTCGGTT